ATGTTCATCTTTGAATCAAATCTGCTTCACAAGCAGACTTTGGTCTTCACGTGGTATTGGGAACGTTCTAGGGTTGAGTTCCATTCGCTGCATTCCTTGTAGGTATCCATCCTAGCCTGGAACTTGCTCCTCGGGGTTGCCCGGTTTATCAAGAGCACCTGCTCTGATACCAATTGTTATTTCGGATGATATACTACAAGAGGGGGGGTGAATTGTAGTATGTTCCTAGTGCCTACTTTTCGCGGAACTTATGCGGAAATTAAAAACAAAACGTAAAGGAACTTAAAGCACACAACAAGTTTTACGAGGAAACCATCCAGTGCCTAACTGGAAGTAAAACCTCGGCCCTATTGGGACTTATAAACAAATTCCACTATAATAGGCAACTCTCCTAGTACAACCTATTACACTGACCTTTGCTTTGAAAGTTCCACCACGGACACTTGACTATATGATAGGACACCTCCTACCAGACCTAAGACACCTCTCAGGACCCTTTTTCTCCCTTTACCCAGGACACTTCCTAGGTGACCCAAGACACCTCTCAGGTTCCTTTCACTCACTGTGCAATCCAAGACACACCCACTCAGGGTGACTAACTACCACTCGAATTTTACGAGATTTCAAACTCATACACAAGCGTGAATTTAAGATAATTCACAATCTCACCCCAAAATACAAAACACTCAAAACCCTTTTTCCCATTACAAGATCTCATCGAATATCCCTAAATACATATCTATGAATAGAGAGATAAAACTAATATGTTGAACACTCAAGATCTGTCTGGAACTCACTAGACGTATTGTAACCAAAAACCTGATAGGAACTTTGACCAGGAGGACTGACTTAGCTTCGTGGTGAAGGATAAAACCATTAAGCACGACCACTACACTTCGTCAGCCTCTACTTTGAATGAATGCATATGAGCATATTTATAGTACACTCGAATTATTCATTTCATCTTGAAAAAGATAGATTTTCTGAAAAGATAAGTTTAAAAGATATTTTCTAAAAATCAGTTTTCCGAAAATATACCTTTTTGTTAAGAATAAAAACTGTCAATAATAATAAGATAAACTTAGCATAAAATCAGATTTTATTCAAAACTTATCTTTTTGTTTAAAATACTTTTTAAACAATCTTATCTTTTTCCAAAAGGGATTTATTAGAAGATAAATATCTTTATTCAGTAAAACCAAATCCCTAAAAGATATGCACGTATAAGGTAAATATATATATCATTAAAACCGACTTTTAACGACGTTCATACTTAAGTTCCTATTAGGTTCCTGAACTCTGACAGTCTCTGAGTTCCTGACAAGTCAGTTACTCTAATTTCATTGACTGTTTGGAATTCACCTTGGTTCTATATAGACTTGTTCCAGACCGACTTTTATGTCCAACATACTTACATGAATCCTAGAGCAATATACTTCTATTTCTCTGTCTTCATGTTGCTTCTCTGAAACTCTTGTTCTGGAATCCTGTAGTCTTGATATATTCTGGATCTTAGGGTTTTCCCCAGCATTACACCGAAACCAGGTCGTTACAACCCGTTTTGAAGTTCCTGTTAAGAAACTTCTGGAAGTTCCATTTCTGGAACTCTTCTTCTAAATTTACTTGTATCCTCATGGATCCTCTAAAGTTCCTCTGTTTCAATTCCTACTTCAGCCCTCAACGCTTACTGAACCTGCAAACATCACAACACTAGAAAATCCTTATTAAATGGAAGTTTGCTCAATTCTTAACATCATCATCAAAACCTCATAAGGATCAACAAGTTGTCCCTTTTTGATGATGACGAACTGAGCAAACTTCTGAGAATAACAAAGTAAAACAGAAGGTTAGTTTTTTATTTATAAAAACAATAAAGAAAACTAAACTAAATTAAAAGACTCCTACACATACATAACCTATATATGTATAGGATACTTACCTTATGAAGCTAACATATGTAAACACATGTTTACATAGTTACCTTCATGGTCCCTTAGCCATCATCATGCTTATCAACCATAACACTTATCGTTGTTCTTGTTCCTCTATTGCTTATCCTATATTGCTCAAGTTCCTTACATATATACCTGTCATTACTCAGGTTCCTTGTATCCTGTTCCAAGCATAATTTGCTTTTTCTATGCACAACTTAACATACACGTTAGATAGATAATCATCATTAGTTTATAATCATCAAAACCTAATTGCTCAACATCCATCCTAAGAGGTATAAACTATAAAGTAAAAGTCCCTCTCATTAGACACAACACAACCCATCTTTGTGACGAAAGCCTGACCTTAACAAGCCGTTGTCAACAAAAATACAATGAACAAAGTTGCAACTAAAAGTTAACTGTGGTAGTATAAACAATGTCCCATTGATCAACCAGTTGAGATTATATTATTTCATTCACAGCTACGGTACTAAAATTAATTATTACTTGTAATTGGTATCAGCGTCACAGTTCCACCATACAATTGATTAGCCTTTAAACATCATTATTTTTGCTCCTAAAAATTACATTCTTAGTTTGGAAGAATGTCAATCATATACTTTTACTGTTTACATATTACTGTAAGATCAACTTAACTGATGTAACTACCCTTAGATGTTACTGACTTACTATACAACTAACAGAAACAACAACGTAGTACTAGTAAAGATTTTTCAATCATACTATTGGACAGAGCATCTCATTGCAGAGCAACAAATCTAGGGAGAAAAAAATCACCTTTACATGTAAAAAGGAGGGTAAAAACAACAACTACATAGTACATCATTTTCATTTAAAGCACAACTACAAGTAATAAAGCTTTAAGTCACCTCGTGTCACCACTTGTATAGTATATTCAGAGTGATTAGTAACGTGACAACTAAATCCGGATAATGAGAATATTTTCCGATTTTGCGTTTACCTCATTAGGTTGATACTGCAGGACATAAAACCCTCTAGCTAGTGGATTCTCACCTGCTGACTAACAGGAACAACTTTAAACCCATCATCAGGAGGTTTCGAAACCTCGTTACAGTGACTCATTCAAACATCCTGCTTATTCCACTTAATTCCATTCCCAAAAAACTCTCTATTCTCATAAATCACTTCAATATTCATCTTTCCATAATCTTGGTTATCCCAACTTTAACCAAACCCCAGCCTCTGCACTATCAGTTGTAATCCATAACAGATACCAGAACACGAACGCCTTTTGTTTTGACTTATTCAATGAACCCGGCACATAATACCGGCGCGTCTGGCGCGTGGACTCTGTTTTAGCCACCGTCGAAACGGACGGAGAGAGGGAACGGAGAGGAGAGAAAAAGATATTGGCGGCGAAAATCAGAGAAGGTGATTTCTTAGGTTTACCTGATATTTTATTGTTTTTATTTTTTTATTTTTTTATTTTTGAATAGCTTTTTTATATTTATTTATTTATCAAGTATGGTTCATTTTTTGTGAGAGTGTTTTGGTTCAAATTACAAAAATTCTTAGAACAACTCTGTTGACAAGCAATCAGTTTGTTTTTTTTTTTCAAGGGCAGGATGAGATTCCGAGATTTTCGAAAATCGGGAGGAAAACTCTGACCACTTGGGCACACGAAAATTTGTAGTTTGACTTGTCAGTTGTAGCTTGGTTGAGCATGGTTGGAGAAGTGATGGAGAACGTTGGATCACGTTAGTAATTTGATTAGGTGATTAACCTATATTCGTACTCGTATAAGATAGCGATAATGATGTTTTTCTAAAGCGGTAATGTAAAATGTGACCTATTGGATTAGTATTGTCATGAATTTGATTTGACGCATTTTAATAGGTTAAACCCCTTGAAAGCAGGAAAGATTTACACGTTGATAATCTTTCCTTTTTTAGGGTATTTCAATCCGAATAGTTATCCCTCCTCTCCTCTCGCTTTTTATAATAGTTTTGCTTTTCTTTTATGAATTATTAACTTTCTATAGGACTAGTGAGGAATGAGGATGATATAATATAGGAGTAATTTCAGGATCACTATTGAGGGTCTGTTCCGATTGACTGAAATGAGCTGAACTGTACTGAACAGAACTGAACTGAACTGAACTGAACTGAGTTGAACTGAACTGAACTTATTAATTAGTGATTTTTAACTACGGATTAGTGATCTTTGATTATTTATTGATTATTTATTACTATACATATGTGTATATACAAATGTACATATTAAAATATTTACGAAAAATATACTATATAATTATAATTATAAAATGTATGGAAAATATATTAAAAACTTGAAACCTCTAAACATTTTAAACACATATACTATTTATTATTATTATTTATTGATGATTATTATTATTTATTGATTATTATTATTAGTATTATTATTTCAATTATTATTATTATTATTATTATTATTATTATTATTGTTAATAATAATAATATTATTATTATTATTATTATTATTATTATTGTTTTTGTTGTTGTTGTCGTTGTAATAAGAGTTTAAAAGAATTAAATTTAGCTTTATATCACTAGCAATATCATTAGACATAAATTAAGAGCTGAACTGAACTGAACTGAATTTCAACGGATCAGAACAGACCCTGATTCAAAATTTTTTTTAACCATTGACACCAAGTAGTGATGAGTAATTTTTTTTTATATTTATTTATTTTAGGACTATATTTACTAACATTAATTAGCTCTTTGTGTTTTTCTCAAAGACATATTTTTAGATACCCTAATTGGCTAATTGTTAAATGACGTATATAGCTACATTATACCACAACGGTTTTTATCGATAGTTAGTACAATAGCTAACAACTATTAGAAATATCAAACAATTAAAAACTAACCGCTACCATATCAACCATTTAATTTCGTTGAATTAAACTCTGAACACGTGTCACTAAATTATGGAAAATTAATTATCGACAAACGTACTATTCCTTTAACAACAAATTTCCATTGCTCGGCACCAACTAAACCCTAATAAACAAGACGATGTTCCATGGAGAAAAATAAATAACATTTAAAATCCAACTTCCAATTGATGAAGGAGCCAAATTTCTCCAAATGCAGAGCAAGTTCTAGAACCAGAATTCATTTTATTACATACTTAAAATATTTATAGATATGTACACAAAATTGCATAAACCAAACTAGACTACTTGGGGGAGGGTGTAACGCTAATGCTAGTTAAGGCAAATGTACCATTTCTCCCTAAGCAAACGATAACTTCTAAATCCCTCTTTTCATCATCTTTACCATTTTTATATCTGCTCTTTAATTGTTTCTTAGTCGAAATTTTCTTCCATTAGCATTCTCAATTTTGTACAATTTGACACGAAAATCACCCAACATTTCCAATGTCACACACACATTAATTTCACTTCCCAAACATCACCATCATTCCATGTTATAACATCCACCATCAATTTACGTTGATCTTGAACCACCTAATAATTATTATTATTATCATATCTCTCAAAGGTCCGCGAAGCAACTCTCGGACCTAGAGAGAATAGCCCTTCGTTGGTCAAGGGCTTCCCTAGTAGGACTCGCGGGGGTGGACCTAAGACCCCCCCGCGGGCAATCAAGGCTACGGCGCAAGATATGGCGCATGGCACTAATAAGGTGGATCGTCGGATCTCCGCCAGCAGGCGGGGACGATGATCGGAAGCTCCTACAAACATTCAAGAGACGATTGAGAGCCTCCTCGGTGCTAATATGCTTCTCGGAGCGATCAACCTCGGTTTCGACAGCTTCTGAGCAAAGACCGCAAACCCATTTACCCATATACCCTTGTCGGATCCTCTCAATGTAAGCAAGGGTACATTCCTCGGTTAAACCGCAACATTCACATTTGATGAATTGTACTTCATTTTGGGCTGACGATTCTTGTTGGGTTGTTGTTACTGCCATTGGTTCGCTCATCACTGCTGACATCTTTCTAACAAACCCTGTAAAATTTTAATTTTTATCAGATCAAAAGTCAGAACTTTACAAATAAATTTATTAATAATTAAATTATAATCAAGATCTATAATTTTATCAGAAATTAAAAACAGGGTTTTTTTTTTTACAGATGTGTATTTAATGTTCTTATTAAAAAAAATTAAATTTTAAGAAAACCCAGATGAGAAACGTGAATGGGTTTACATTTTTTGTTCGATTTGAAGGTAAAACAGAGGATTTCCTTCAAATGACAGCAAATTTTGATTACATTCCAAATTAAAAAAAAAAAAAAAAAAAAAAAAAAAAAAAAAAAAATTAATGAAATTTTTAATACATTTGAAAATGGGTTTACATTTTTTGTTCGATTATTATATTCTACTAGCAAAACAGAAATTGAGAAAAAGACAGAGCAATTTACCTGCACGAGAAAAAGTTGATCAAATTTGTCAAAGTTGTTAGAATTTCTGAAAAAAAAAGTGGCGGAATTTTTTGGGTTTGGCGTGAAAAGTGTGTAAAAAAGGGGGAAAATGGATTAAAATGAGCTATCTTTCTTTCTCCCACTCTCCTTCAACTTTCTCTTCATCACATAAAAAAAACTCAAACTTTGAAAACATTATAAAAACAATAGTTTTTTGGAATAAAGTTTTGATCTTTATTTAAATTTTTTTCTGGAAATCTGTCAGAGAATTGAGATCTCTCTTCAATTTCAATCAATTCAGTAGATTACTTTCTTGGGGATGATTGGAGAGAGAAATCATAAAACAGAGTCACATAAATTTTACCAATTTTTTTCTTTAAATAAATAAAGATGTAATTTTTATTATTATTTTTTTTTGCTTGAAATTGGAGATTAATTTCCTCCACCACAAATTTCTCCACTTACAAAGTAGGGTGTTTGGAGAATTTTTAGAGAGAGAAACTAGAGAGAGAAAGAGGGAGGTAGAAGAGGAGGGGGAGATAATTATGGGGGATGTTTGGGTTTTTATTGAGGAAGAAAAAGGGGGGTCCAATCATTGAAGTTGAGGAAATAAAAATAAATTAAAAAAAATAAGGTTACCAAAAATAAAATTATACGGAATATATGAAAAAGAATAAAATAAATCTACATCAGCATCTATGCTGGCATGAAATTTTGGCCGTTGATTAAGTGGACTGCCAGCTGTGCATTATGGTATATAGGAATTTCATTCCTTCTAAAAAAATTATTTTCTATAATTTGTAAATAATGATTTTATTGTGATTTTCTTTTGCCAATATTTTGTCTCTAGTTGTATGCTGAGTTGGAATGTAAATTGTATGGTGGGAATTTTTATAAATAAAAAAGATTGGAAGTGGGAATAGTAGGAGAGCTTGTGAAAATCTTAACAAGAAGTATCTTAGTGAATGGATGTCAACTTACTAGAGACAAAAACAATTTGAAAATTAGGATAGAATGTTATCGGTGCTTACATATTTGTGTAAAAATGATATGGCGTAAACTATTTTCAAAAGAATAAAAAAAGTTAGATCAAAATAATTAGTCCACGAGAAAAGTTAGATAATAATACGAGTAATAATAACAATAAAAATAAAAAATAAAAAATAAAAAATAAAAAATAAAAAAGAAATTATGTCGCGGTCCCTAATACCAAGGGCTCCCCATACCTAGTTAGCATGTAATGTAATCTATCATTTTAGCTAGTTAAACTTCTAAAAAGTGAAGTAGTGCTTGATGAATGTAAGAAAGGTGCATGGTATTTTGGGTGTGCAATGCCTTTTCAGGCTTACTATGTCATTTTTTGTTATAAAGATCCTTCGTTCTTGGATTTAATTTTAAGCCTTTGTTATAATTACCTTAAAGGCTTAAACTAGTCATGGTAAGGGACGGTGGTGTGGGAAATTTTGAATAGCTTAATTTTTTTATTTTATTTTTTTTTTTTTAACAAGGAATAGCTTAATTAAAACATGCTATGTTGAACATCCACGAAATCATTGAAATGTACATATAATGCACAAATAAGATGCAGATTTAAATTTTTGAGGGATTTATATTCCACGTATCAAGGTCAAAATATGTTTATAGTATACAATAAGTACAAGTGATGATACACCAAGTATGAACGTATGAGGTAATTCTTTGGAGTTCATAGAATATTTCCCACTTATAATTGAACCTTGAATGAACTACCATTTTCTTGATAATTTACGTACAAGTATTATAAAGTTGATGTATATTACTAATATTAGGAAAACAAGTATGTAAATCTTTCATTGATTTTATAGTTGATGTACATGGCAAACGTTTTGGACTATGTTAAATAAGCAACAAGCTGTGTTTGTGTGTGTTTTTTTTTTCAATCAACAAAGATAACTACAATTGATATTATCCCTCCCTAAGCTAATTTCAGATAGAATTTATCCCTAATTGTGATCTATATTCTTTTATTTATCTTTCTATCATCAATTGATCTTTTATCCAAAAAAAATCATTCCTTTCATTGATGGAAGTTGTTATCGATCAGCAATCAACTAATTGGTTCAACCAAATTAGTTGAGAATTTAAGGTTGATAATATAATTTTTAAAAAAGTATTAATATTGGAGCAAATTAAAAGTCACTTATATTTCAACTTCAACTAACTTTTAATATGTTGTTGAGCTTGTATAAGTTGTATGAACCTCTTTTAAATCAAGCAATACGTGATAATTTTATTGTCATTTAAAAGACACTAAAGAATGTCTTAATCTATATTATATGAAATTTTATTAGAATTAGTCCATGAATGATACTCCGAATATATCATAATTAAGTTTTTTATCAACGTTGTGTTTGCTTCTCGTATCTATTGGGACTGCTGATCGGCTGATCCTAAATTATTATAAACAATTATATGTTGACAATTGTACAATATTATATTCTTAAAAATGTTACGAGTAATTTAATATTATTTTCGTGCTAATTTCTTGCTTAGACTACTTCATTCGTTGATACAATCATAATTTTTGGTGTTATGATTACAATATAAAATTTAACAGGAAAATGATTGATAAATAATGACAATTAAATAATGTAATTCAAGGTATGCTTCGGATTTTATTGAGTTAAAAAAAGCAAATGGTGGACATTGTCTCGCATGAAGTAAACGATGAAAGCAATTATGAAAAAAAGGGCACGAGGATATACCAACTGTGGGGATCCGTTGCTTGATCCATTGCTTTGGACCTATCCTATGATATATAGTATGGACATAATGGACCAATATCATAATTCTTCCTAATATAATTACCAAAGGAATATTTTTTTTTTTCATTTATGCTTACTTCAATTATTTGATTTGGTAGAGACAAAGAGTTTTAGGTTGACACTCAAAATATGGAATCGTATTCTAATTATATCAGATAATCACTTATTGTGAAAAAGTTTATTCATGCAAATAGAAACATAGTACGTACTCTATGTCTCCGTTTTTTTGAGTTCAGTCTACTCAATTATTTTAGGTTTATAACAACAAAACCAAGGATATTGAACTCATAAGGGGTCAGGACCAAAATATTTTTGTTTTATGAAGAGAGAGATAGAGAGTACGTAATTAAGAGAATTATTAAATATATTTGGGCCATACAAAATGTGATGAAAAAATGATATAATATGAATAATAGGTCGACATATAAGAAATAATTAATGAAAAACTGAGTATATATAATTTAGAAAAATAGTTCTAAATGAAAATCAAACAAAAATTAGGAAAATGGGGGAGTACATTAGTATAGAGTTGACAATTGTATTAACTTTTGTGTGGCTTAAACCAAAGATGGATGTAAAGATATGACTAGTCATTAATGTATTTTAATATAATAACCAATGAAATACAAGTATATTGTAAAAGCAATATAATAAAATTATTTTACAAGTGCATATTGAATTAGCTACCCTCCTCTATCTTGTAAGTAGATACGTTGTAAGCGCATAAAACTTATCACAATTCACAAATAATTTCAATTACAGGAATAAAGAACTTATAATAATATTATTTTACTATGTAAATAATTTCAATTACAGGAATAAAGAACTTATAAGCCAGTAGCCTTATATATTGAAAGTAAAAGTCAATAGGATTAATCTTCTTTTTAAGTAAAAGAATGTTATATTATATGATATCTTATATCATATGTCAATCCTTAGCACTAATTGGTGGATGGACCAACCCCAATACCAAAGATTTATTAAAGGACAATATATAAAATTTGTAGGCTATCAATTTATGTAGGAGAAAAGGACATGCTTTTATTTTAAATCGATGCACTTGATTAGAAACCCTTACACAACACTCAATATCAAGGAAAAAATTTAAAAGAAAGAAAATTTCCCAAATAAATATAAGAAATGTCTTTATCTATAACATGTTCCAATCAATAAATATTCAATAAATATTGAATCATGCATGAATGTATAGCTATCAAACTATGGTGTGTTGTGTGTACTTTTGGAGAAAATGCTTGAAATAGGAGTATGAAAAAAAAAAAAAAAAAAAACCATGATTATTATCTCACATGGGAAGAGATCTTAGTGATTTCATTATCACATAAATATATTTTTATTTTATATTTGCACATGTACTATTTATATTATATTATTGAGCTAATTATAGTTTTTTCTAATACAAATGTTTCATCATTGATAGTGTATAAAACATATTCCTGGGCTTCAACCATCAGCTTAAGCTTTTGGTTGAGTTGGTCCTTTAACATGGTATCGGAGCCAGCGTGACACAAAGGTCACGGGTTCGAATCTCATCCGCCCCTCCTTCAAAGTGGAATTAATTCGCACCAAGTATGAGTGGGCCTGTGTTGCATCCACATTCAACCATCAGCTTTCATGTGAGGGGGAGTGATAGAGTATAAAACATATTCCTGGGCCTCAACCATCAGCTTAAGCTTTTGGTTTAGTTGGTCCACTAACAATCATGATTGAATTACCACACTAACTTAAGTAGACATACGATGTATGACTTATGCCTATATATTCTATTATGGTGGTTAAGTACTTAAGTGTTTGATGTCAATTGGATGATTAACAAATGTAACATCAAATAAAAAAAAAAAACAAAAAAGGTTAGAAAATTACTTTATTTTTGTTTTTCCTATTTGGTGCAATGCATTCAATAGTATTAGGTAGGTGTTTTGTTTGGATCTATGTTCGTTTTAGATGTTTGGTCTATGTAACTCTTTTGTTGTATACTTCGATAAGGGTTGAGATTTAATTTGGTTTTTGTAAATGAGAAATATTTTTAGCTCTGATGGTGTAACCTAATAACAAAGGAGATTAAGCTAGATCTCTAAGATTTATTTAATTTATAGGTGCCAAATATTTTTCGATCTTTTGAGTTTCTTATATACCCTTATTATGTACTCCGTAAATACTAAAAATAAATTGACTTGAGATATTGTGAATAATTTTACAAAAATAAAAGGAAAATTTGTCTAAAAGGTACTTATATGTTTACCTTTTTGTGAAAAAGGGCCTTATATGCTCAAAGTGGTGAAAAAGGTCTATAAGTTACTTTTGTTGTGAGGAGGGACCTTGACATCGGAATATGACCACCGACTTCACTTTTCCGGCATTGACCATCATGCAATATGCACGTGATGATTTAAAAATGTATTTTCCTTCTTTTTTTCTCTTGATTTTAAGGAAAGAGAAGGGATTTTGAGAGAAAATTTGGGGATAGTAAGAGAGAAAATGTGAAAACTTGGGGGAAAAAATGAACGAAAGGGTCTTTTTAAAACATCACGTGCCATGTGAGTGATGGTCAACACCAGAAAAGTAAAATTAATGGCCATACTCCGATGTCAAGTTCCCTCCTCACAACAAAAGTGACTTATAAGACCTTTTTTCACCACTTTGAACATATAAGGTCCTTTTTCACAAAAAAGTGAATATATAAGTACCTTTCTAACAAATTTTCCAAAATAAAATTATATTTAGAATTAAGATTATAATATTTAAGTTATTATGTACAATATCTATTATTCCTTTGGATCGAGTCAATATCTATGTTGAACCCTCGCCTTTTAAAATACATAAATTGAGCTTAATTAAGTTTTATAAGACGCTCTTGAGCTAAAATTGTTGGGGTATAGCTAACTTTTGGGTGATGTAATGAATAAATAACTCTAACTAGGATAACTACAAAAACAAAATATCTTCGTTCCATAAAGTAAAGCATGTCTTATACAGTTAAAATTGTACTCTTGTGATAACATTGCATGCATGCATGTATCATACAGTATGTGTAAAATGTATACACTTCTTTAATTATATCCTTTTAATTTAAGGGTTTATTAAATATGGGTTAAAATCCTTATAATTTAAGGGTTATAAAAAAAATTGCATTGGGTTGCTATCCATGGACTTATAGGTACACCACGATACATCACACAAATATTTAATGTACACAATGTGATTGATTGAAATTATTTAATTAAGTAAAGATCATCATGCATAAAAATTATTTTTCTATATGATTTATATAGTTTGAACTGGTCTCCAATCCACATTAAACAATTATTACTATAATTCTGGCTTTTAAATTCCGAAGCTTGCTTGAACATAAATGCAAATAAGCTGTTAATAAGCAAATGCAAATAATTTCCTCCATTTCATTAGATCTTCAATAATTCACTTATCTAATTAATTTTAGAATTCATGCTTTTTAATTTAATTGATTATTTGGGCAATTGAAATATTTAATTAACGTTTATGATATTATGTAGATATGATGACTTGGACGACACTTGATATATTTTTCTCCTGGCTTAAATGTTGTATGTATAACTTTTATTATTGTTATAAATTTTTGTTGTGGGCCCGTTCAATTCAGCTTAATTTTAGTTCAGTTCAGTTCCTAATTTCCTTCTCTCATAATATATTCATTTTACCTCAATTCAGTTCAGTTGAGTTCGATCAGCTCTAATATGTTCAATTCATCTCATTTCAAAGTGTGAACATACCCTTAAGTGTAGTGTACTAGTGTTAGTGAAATATGATTGGTCATCGTCCTATACATGAAAATGCATTGTTATGAGATGATTGCAAATTATCATTCAAATGGGCTACTTGATAGGAATATTGTCTAGTTTTAATAAGTAAAATCTGGTACGAATGTTGCCAGCCAATCATCATTCTTCTGACTACCTCATTTTTGAAGATGTACATGTCATATACTTCGTATTTTTTTCCCTTTTCAAAACACTTAAAGCTACTCTGTATTTAAATTCACCAAGGCAAATAATACATGTCAAAGAAATATCTTGATATTGAATTTCTTATTTGTCCATTAGCTCTAAATGGAATTATTATCTTTATTCACACTCCTTTATGGATAACTCTTCCATGGACAACTAGTAGATACTCCCTTTTAATTTGTTTCATACAAGTGAATTCAAGGTTATGTAAACATATCCATATGAAAAGTTAACCTTTAATATGTACTGTAGTAATTAAATTGTTTTGTTATACTACCACAATTAATTATTATGTGTAACAAATCAATATTTATTATGTCTCACAAATAATACTCATTTGTTGCATTAGCGGAGGTAGTATATAGATTTAAGGGGGCAAACTCAGTAATTAAATGGAACGCGCATTAAATTCAATAATTTGTTTGATCACAACCTGACATGCTCAAACTATGAGCCAAAATAAATATTGTTAGAGACACAACTCAACACGACACAAGATATAATTTAGTAAGCCTTGACCATGCTCGAGAAATGAGGTTATAAGGTACAACCGACACAACCCACAAGGGCCACAAGACCATTAGGCCGGGGATCGAGATCGAGAAGGACAACGTAAAATGATCAAACTCACACAAGTCACAATCTTCCGAAATAAGGTTAGCTAGTTGAAGACTCAAGCAAGCAATTGGATAAAAACATATCCGATCGGCTGGACGGACGAAGACGGCTAGACGACCCATTCAAGTTGGCATGTGAAACCACACATGCACATGTTTTTATAACTCGGACACCCTTCTTATTATGAAACCCAATTCAAGATTATTTCAAACTTCTTACTATAATTTTACTTTATTTATTCAAAGGGGCAACATATCTCAGGAGAAAATGCGTAGATTTTATGTATAGAATTTAAATTAACTCTTTAAATAAGCTTAATTAGGTCAACTACCAAATGCCAAGTTAGTCTAGGCCGAATCCTCAATTTAGTGAATACATAGGAGAGAGAAATTATTAATTATTAAGGTAAAGCCTGCTACTAGCTAGCTAGCTAGCTAATTGGAGTAATTTATAAAAATTATAGTAGTACTCATTTTAATTAGTCATTCATTAGCATAGGTGTCTTTCACCCATTTTCTTAGTTATTGGTTGATTCTTTCCTAAAACATGCATTCATTATTTTTTTTACTTAATCTTATATGCCTATTTTATTGTTTACATGTCAATGATTGTTCATTAAACTAAAAGAATTAAAAGACTTGGTATAAATGACTTTATAATATATACTCCTACGAATCTATGTTATCTTTCCCTCCATACTTATACGTTATACGCTCCCAAAATATAAATAATAAAAAAACTAAGCATTATAAATTTGCTTTCAATTTCAGAATGTCTCTTTTTCTATTTTTTTTTTTTTTTTTTTGAGGAAAGCCGATCGGCAAAATTATATTAAATCAAGTTCTGCCAAAACATGGAGGTTTTTGGGGAAAGAGTTCATACAAATTCGTTCCTCATACGTGTTAGTATCCCATCTAGCCACGGTATGAGCAACCACATTACCCGCTCTCTTCACATGATTACAAAAGAAATAAAGGAAGCTACCACTCAATCGAATAATGTCCTCATAGAATAGGAAAATAGGAGCAGCCCCCTCATGTTTCTGATTTATAGCTCGAACGGTATTGCTAGCATCACACTCAAGAATGATCCTACTATAGCCCAACCTCAAAGCCAGCTCCACCCGTACTTTGCTGCTCCTGCCTCTGCTAGATCCGGAGCCCAGTTGGCTTCCACTCTCTTCACCGCAGCAACCAGCAAGCCACCCTTATCAACCGAATAACAACTCCCAGCTGCACGAAAGAATGGCCAGAAATGTGAGCGTCCACATTTATTTTTACCACCCCCGTAGGAGGGTACATCCACCTAGCAGCAGATAAAATCTGTTCACTCCTCACCACTTCCCCTACCCGAGTTTGGTACGAGCAAAAATCAGAACATAATTTCACAAATCCAGCAGCAATCATTACAGGGTTGATATCATCATTACTCTCGAAAATGTGTAAATTCCTGCAGTACCAAGATGCCCACGTAAGAGCAGCAAACTCTCTAAGCTTGTCCTTGTTAATTTTCTTCGAGAACCAGACCAATACATCAGCAAAAGAGGTAACAGGGGCATCACTCAAGAGCTCAACAAAATCACTACTAGCCCAAATATCCCTTGCATACTTACAGTGGAAAAAGGAATGCAGAATTGTCTCTTCAGGGGCGCCACAGATTGTACAAATCATATCGTCTCGCATATGTCTTTTGTGAAGCACCTCCATCAACGCCATCTGTCCCTTACTCGCACGCCATAGGAAATGGCTCAATTTAGGAGGTCCATTAATTTTCCAGACCACACTCCAACAGTACTTGTCACTAGTGCCGTGAAACAATTCCCACGCTCTCAAACAGCCAAGTCTTCCAAGCCAATAGCCACTTTTAACCGTATAAACACCATCACACGGCCAGGAATTCGATAGGGGGATGTCAAGGACAACCCTCTTATCATTCTCACTAAAAGTAGCATCGACCATCTCCATATTCCAGCAACCTTTATCATAATCAATCAGGTCACTGACTTTTAAATTCATGTCCTGCTCGGAAGGGGGTTAGGAACCAGATGAGTACCTTCGCCAATCAACCACGCATCATCCCATACACGAATTGAAGACCCGTTTCCAACTCTCCACTTCATGCCATCAAGCAATATAGCCTTCGAACCCCATATACTCCTCCAACTATAACTCGGATCGTATCCCAAGGATGCCTACATGAAATCCGAATTCTTGTAGTACCTCGCTTTTAAAACACAATGCAACAGTGAGTTCGTATTGCTACTAAGCCTCCACCCTTGCTTAGCTAACATTGCTTGGTTAAAACATCGCAAATCACGAAAACCCATACCTCCCATAGATTTTGGAAGGCAGAGATATTCCCATTTTTGCCAATGCATCTTACGTCCCGTATTTGTCGACCCCCACCAAAAACGAGCTAGAATAGCATGAATCTCATCAATCAATCCATCGGGAATACGGAAGATACTCATCATATATGTAGGAATTGCTTGAGCCACCGCTTTGATAAGAACTTCTTTACCCGGACGAGATAACAGTTTTTCCTTCCAACCCTGCAACTTCTTCCAAATTCGAGCTTTCAACCCTGCAAAAATAGCTTTTTTTGATCTCCCAATGAATAGTCGGTAACCCCAGATACTTCTCGTGCCTATCAACCACATTCACCCCAAGAGTCTCCACGATCGCCTCCCTTCTGTCCATAGTAACACATTTGCTAAAAGCTACTTCAGTCTTGCTTAAATTCACTTTCTTACCGGAAGCTCTTTCATATATACTGATAATTTCAGCAATTTTAGAGCATTCTTGCAATGTAGCCTTTGCAAACAGTATACTATCATCGGCAAAAAATAAATGAGATATCCTAGGGGCACCTCGACACACACGTGCCCCATGAATCATCTTATCCCTAGCAGCTTTCGAAATAAGTGAAGAAAAAGCTTCTGCACAAATTAAGAATAAATAAGGGGAAATTGGATCACCTTGCCGAAACCCTCTAGATGGGATCAACGATCCCGAAATTCCACCATTGTACTTAAAGGAGAAAGACGCACTGTTCAAACAGTGCATAATCCGACCAATCCAACTTTGCGGAAACCCCAATTTTTGCATTACCTTTTCCAGAAAAACCCACTCAACCCTATCATAGGCTTTACTCATATCCAGTTTAAGCGCTATCGTACCATCTTTCCCTTCCCCTTTCCTCTTCATCCCATGAAAAATCTCGAAAGCAATAAGAGCGTTATCTATAATAAGTCTATTGGGAACAAAAGCACTCTGATTTTCCGAGATAATTGATCCAAGCATTGTCTTCATTTTATTTGCCAAAGTTTTTGAAATAATTTTGTACAACACGTTGCACAAGCTAATAGGTCTAAACTCCATCATCCGCTTTGGCTTATCACATTTTGGGATCAAGACAATACAAGTACGGTTCACCTCTTTCAAGTCCACAAGACCACGCCACCATGACTTCACATAATTTATTATATCCCCTCCAAGAGTACCCCAAAATTTCTGGAAAAATAATGCATGCATCCCACCCGGCCCCGGAGCTTTAGTCGGATGCATTTGAAATAAAGCTTCATGAATTTCCTCCTTTGTAGGTTCGGTCTCCAGTTCTCTACGCATCTCCTCCGTGACAATAGGTTCAATGCCACCTAAAGCTTCATCAAAATTACTTGGATGGTCAGTAGCAAATAGCCCATCAAAATAATTGGCAATAATAGAATCGAGGTCAGCCTTCGAATTTGCCAATCGCCATTTTCATCAAATAAACCCATAATGGCATTACGCTTCTTTCTTTGACTTGCCTTGTGATGAAAGTACTTCGTATTTTTGTCACCATCTCTTAGCTCGTTTGTTCTTGCTCTAGCATACCAATACGATTCTTCCATCCTGCGGAGCTCATCAATTTCCTGTCTGATTGCATTACACTGCTCAAGCAGCACCGCATCAAGTCTTCCTCCCTGTATCTCCTTTAGGCGCCCTTCTGCATTTTTTATTTTCTTCTTAAACACACCAAATGTCCTAGCCGCCCAGGTAGACAGCCCTCCTACTACATTGGCAATCCTAGCATGCATAGGCTCACCCACCCCCGTAGCCCAGCACTCCAAAACCACCTTTGCACACTCCTCATTCGAAAGCCATAACTTCTCGAACCTGAAAATTTTCTCCTTTCTTTCTCGATCAAACTCATCCCCACATTTTAAAAGGATTGCGGCATGGTCAGAATGGCATATGGGGAAGTGGATGACCTCGAACCGTGGGAACAAAGAGCACCAACTGTCCATAGCTATAAACCTATCGAGCCTTTCCTGCACCAAAGTCTCCATAGATAGTCCACGCTGCCAAGTAAAACAACTACCTTTATAGCCCAGGCCACGAAACCCGCATTCATCCATTATCTCCCTAAAGGCATCCATTTGTCTCTCCCCCCGCATTACACCACCCCTCTTTTCAGTCATGTTGAGGATTTCATTAAAGTCACCAAAGCTCAAGATAGGAATGTTACTACTATTTTTCATCTCCCTCAAAAGATCCCAAGTACGAAATTTATTACGGGCCACCCATACACCCCTACAGCCTTCCAACTCGGACTTCCTTCTCTATCGCACACATTCGCCTCAAAATGGTGGTTCGAATAAGAACACATACTCACCTCAACATCCTTCCACCAAAACCCCATACCACCCGACCTCCCGTTACTACTCAAACACAAACCATTAGTATAACCACACCTATTCCTAATTAACTCAAGTCTCTGCGCATTAATTTTTGTCTCCGAAATGAAAACAATACTCGGCCTATCTCTCCAACACCAGTCTTAGAGAGCTTTAACTGTTAACGGGTTGCCAAGCCCGTTACAGTTCCAGCTGAATATTTTCATTGCTCTTCGCGGTGTTGGTCATTACGAATCACCGCTACTTGGGAGTTTTGCAAAACACCCGAAACATCATCACAAAATTTTACCTTCTTAGTCTCCCCCTCCTCACCTAGCTCCACCATAACATCCCTACTATCCCCACTCTTCCGTTTTTCCATATTCCCTACTTCAAAGCCCTCATCAGTCTCCATGTCAGCTTGACCCACCATCTGTTTCTTTGCAAATTTTTTAGCCTTTCTGGGTTGAGTCTTGGTAGTAGAGATACCACAAGAAAAGACCAAGGGTGTCTCAATTAACGTCCTCGTTGCACAATGTGGCATGGGTACAGCTTGCATCTCCCTTGCAATATTATCCTCACTTTGATCCTTTGCTTCTGATTATCATGGGAATCCCCTTTTTCAACATTAATGCTAGAGTTTGTTTGTACCAAGTTAGCATCATTGTCCTTGGTAATTGTTTCGGTTGAAAACAATGGGACCTTGCCGAAGGTCCGTTGAAATGGAGAAGACTGGACTCGATCCAAGTTGTGTTGGGCCGAAGGTTTCCTGCACAGTGAACACACGTAAACTAGCCTCGGGGGTGTTTCCGAGGAAGGCCCCTCCGATGCTAAAGTCAGTATAATGTGTAAAAGGAAGACACTATGCAAGAGAGTTTGTAGCTTGAGGCTTTTGTGGAATATTTCTGAATGCAAGAATGAGCATACGAATTGGAATATCAATGATCATATGTCATAATGTATCTGATCTCCCCTTGAATGTGTTAATATGAGGGCTTTTATACCTCATCATACTTGGAGAGGTTGGGCTTTAGCCCAATTGGCTTACTTTGTGGGCTGACTTTTGACTTTTGAGCAATTGGAGAGTTGAACCTTGACCTTGGGCTTTTAATTGGATCATTTAGTGCTCAGGCCCAATTTTGACTAAATTGGACCCAAACAACTTGCCCCCCAGACCCGATTTGGAAGAATGACGGGTCGGGTTTGATTTAACTCAGAAAAGGAGGGAAGTAAATGATTTAATTGATCCAAAAATTTGAATTTAAACCGTAATTAATGAGATAACAACGGTTAATGATTTGCGGAAGTTGGACGGATAATGGGCAGTTTAATCACAAGACATGTGTTTAATGGTTACTTAGTGGGTACTTAAGAGAAATTAAAGCACAGACTCTTCGTATCCCGTACCTGGAGATATAAACAGAGGCGCGTCATTCTCCTCACTTATTCACCAACACAAACCCAGAATTCTTCGAGAGAGAAACCAAGAACCCGCATCAAAACTTCGCAAATTCCCCCGAGCATTGAGCTTAGAAACTGAGACTTGCCACTACGAACTCGTAAATCGGCAACTTTCGCTTCAGATTAAGGTAAATTCCTTTGATTTCAGTTTATTTTTCTTCGAATTCGAACTCCTTCCCCTTTTCTTTCGACTTTTCTCTTCGAAATAATCCATGGCAAGAGGAGTTAGAGGTAGAGCCCGTGCTCCAAGAAGAGCAAGGCCGATTCCCGATCCTAGGAATAGGATTGGGACCTGGAATGGTCAAAGGCCGGAGTCTGACCCTGCTGAAGGGATTAGGGCGACTCCCCTTTCCTCGGCTCCTCCTCAAAGAACGGATGAGCCGAGTGCTTCTGGACGGGACGATGAAATTCCCGCTGTCCTTTGGGATATCCTCCCTGGGTTTTCAGAGTGGGAGAATGCCGAAGTCGCTTCGGCCATGATAAAGAACCGCCCCTACTCATGGTGGGTAGAGAACGCCGATCAATATCGATTTGCTGAGCAAATTGAGTTGCATTACGGCATTTTTGAAGCTGATGGATATTGGTGCCGAATGCCCTCAGCATCCGATAGAATCCATCGTCCACCCCCGGGGTATGTGGGGGTGTACACGAGACAGCTTCAGTATGGGCTGAGGTTCCCTTTGGACGTTTTCGTCCGAGACTTGCTGATCCATTACAACATTTCCCTATGTCAGCTAACCCCCACCAGCATCCGAAGGGTGATGACATACTTATGGGTCTGCAAGTTCTTCAAGTACGTGCCGAACCTGCACTGCTTCAGAAAGCTCCATCGGCTAGTGCCAAATATTCAAAGTGGGCACGGAAGCCATGGTTCTGGGTGGTATCGGATTGAGTCCCGGCCCCAATACTTGACCATGTGGCCAAATGACTCTTCAGACAAGGACTGGAGAGGTCAATGGATTTGGGTTAGGGCACCCACAGATCCGGGCCACCCTTGCGTCTTCAGCGCTCCCCGGTACTTAGCTGAGCCTGATCCCGAAATGGGAAGTCTAGGTCCCCCCGCAGATAACGGGGCGGATCCGAACCTGGATCAGCAACATATCTTCGGCAAGCTGCCGAACCCGGGGGGAAGTGGTCGAATGCAGCATATCCCGGAGACTTGGCTCCCCGATACGCATTACGTTTTCCAAGAGAACATGCTAGCAGCTGTTGGCCTCAGCCGAAAGTTTAAGGATGGTAAGCTTCTTCGGCTGGGGCCGAGGCTTTTTAACTACCTCTTTTTCTTCTCTCGCTTTGCTTTTTTTATGCTGTGCCGACATATCTGAGCTAAACTTTTTCCCTTTCCTTTTTTCAGAGCGGGACGAGACCAACGTTGGTATTAACTACGCTCGTCTTGGTGTTAACCGAGAGCGAGTTGTAACTGAACGGGCCCCGTCTATCACTGAGCCGAGGCATAGGGAAGTTCATCTGGATTCTTCCCACTTCCAGATTGAGGCTGTTGCTCTGTATCAGAGGCAGAAGCCTTGGTGGAAGAAGAGAGACCCTTGGTTTCAGCTGCTGAACGAAGAAGCTGAAGCTGCCCGCACAGCCGAAGAGGTTGCACGGGTACTTGAGGCTTGCGAAGGAGGAGAAGGGTCCTCCAGAGCTGCTGAAGCCGAAGCTGCAGCTAGAGCAGCTGAAGAAGACGAGGCTTTGCTGAAAACCTCGGTGAGCTTTCAGACAACTTTTTTCTTTTCTTCTTTTTTTTTTTTTTTTTTTTTTTTTTTTTACTTATATTTTTTTTGTCTTCCTGTTTTCAGTTCGTGCACAATCAGACTCTCACTGTAGAGCTGATAGATACCCTACAAGATAGGGTAGACGCTGCTGTGCACGAAAGGAAGGTGGCTGAAGAGGAAGTTAAGCTTGCTAAGCTGAAGCAAGCAGCAGCTGAAGAGAAGCAGCAGGAGGTTGAGGAGTACGGTAAAAAAGCTGCCGAAGCTCTGAAAACCTTCTGCGATGCTATGGAGATGGAGGTTTTTCCCCCACTGATGGAAGGGGAAAAATTCCTCCAGGAGCATATGGGAGTGGACGTCTCCAAATTCAAGGCTGCCGTTGAGAGCCGAATTCAAGAAGGAACTGCTGCACAAGCTGAAGTGCAGCAGCGTCTAGAGGCTCTTGAAGCCAGCCGAATGGCTGCTGAAGAGTTGCTCCTGGCCAAAGACGTCCAACTCTCAGAGGCTGCTGCTGCTGCTGAAGCCCAAAGAGCTAAATTCCAAGAGGCTGAGGATCAACTGCTGATCCAGAAAGTTGAAGTGGCCCAAGCTCAGACAAAGGCTTTCCAAATTCAGCAAGAGCTGAATGAGCTGAAGGGTTCCTCCTCCAAAGTCGCTGATGAGCTGAAGAAATCCAAGGAAGACTTGGAGGAGACCCAGAAGAAGCTGGCTGATGCTGAGGCTTTACTCAAGGTCCGTGTTTATACCCAAGAGGAATATGAGATGGGTTTCAGAAACGGATTCCGAGTATGCCGAAGAGTCTGCCTTCATGCTGAGCCGAAGCTGGACTGGTCTAAATGTGCTGAGTGGGTCCAGAATCCCGAAGACCCTCACATGAAGTTTGCAACTCCAGCTGAAGCTGAAATTCTTAAGGCTGAGGAAGCCGAAGAGGAAGCTGAAAGACTGGAGTTGGAAGCTGAGCAGAGGGAAAGGGAGGCTCGGCAAAGTGCAAAGCCCGCCTCTTCTGCTGCTGGGGCTGAGGCCACCATGGGACTCAACGCTGATCAGTCTGATCCGCCGGCTGAAGCATAGGAACTCGGGCAGTCGTCTTCAGAATCTTGCGGTTCATCATGTGCTTAACTTTAGACTTGCCGCTTTCTGAGTTTTTTGCCTTGTTTTTTGCTTCAGCTTGCCTTGTCGTACAGCAGTTTTATTTTTTTGCTTATGTACGTATTTCGGCAGCTGTTATTTTCCGCTTGTGGGCGGCTGCCGATACTGAATTATTGAACTTGTAGCTCAATTTTTTTTCTTCAGTTGCTTTATTTTTGAATGCTTTACTGTTTCTTTTCTTCAACTCTGCCGAACATAGCTGCACTGCGTGCTTCTTGCCCCCACAGAAATTGAAGTATGACTTTAGTTGAATAAGCAATTTCTGAACTTCTTCAAAATGGATATCCGAAACACAGGGCCAACTGAAGGCAATGCTTCTGGGATACAAGTCTTACTGAAGATTGACTGTCTGAAAGTTGGATATCCGAAACACAGGGCCAACTGAAGGCAATGCTTGGGATATTAGCTTTCTGGGACTAACCTCTTTAGAACAAGTCTTAC